AGCGAAAAAGATTGTGAAAAATGTGTGTGGCACATTTTCCAGTTTCCTTTTTTCGCAGTTTACAGTTCATGTGAAACGAAATCGAACAGTTTACACCTCCGGTGAAGTGAAAATCAGACAGATACGCTCTCCCGAAACGTCAACTTTTCGCTTAGCTGCTGCTGCATGCGCGAAAAAAAAAATAAACGTAAGCGAAAAAGATGCGATCCACAAAATTAGATTTCGCTGGATCGTATCTGTTTACAGTTCAAAGCGAAGTGAAAAATTTGCCAATTGCGTTTTTCACGCAGGTGAAAAATTTAGTATTTTGTATTAGGTTTTCGCTTTGCTTCGATCTCTATACAGGCCTTAAGCACGCAGGAAAAAATATTTTAAACGTAATAATATTTGACGTAAAATCAATAAGAATTTCATTTTGTTTTGGCTGCAAAAAGAAATTATTATTGTTTCAACAATCCAGTATTGTTGTTCCATAAAACCCCATGGATTGTTAAATCAAAAAGAAAATCTTTTCGAATTTACACGGAGAAAAAATACTACCCAAAAGTTGAGTTCTTTTTACTTAATATTGACTTCAGCCTCTCACTTGCACTCGTTATTGTTGTCAGAAAAGGAACAAGAGATTCGACCCAACGATATAGTTCAGCCCAATAAGCTACTTCTGAGTAAAATGCATATTCTCAAATTTACGTGAATTAAACTTAATTTTAGGTAGAATATACTTAAGAGTAGGTAATTTTTTTTGCTGGTGTTAAATGGAAACTACTATATGCGATTTACTCAAATTTGGGTTATTGGGCTGAACCCCGGAATTGAGGGAAAAGTACTTAATTTTGGGTAGTTTTTCATCTCCGTGTACAAGAGCTTTCATGGTTATCTTCTTCTTCTTTCCTTTATTTAACGTCGGTCTCTGTTCCGCAATCTAGTACCAATCACCGACGGACATCGATTGCCATCCATTGACGGCAATCGAATGTGCAGGAAGGCAGCTCCCACATCTGCGTAGGATATCGCACCCATTCAACACACATGGGCCGGGACCAACGGCTTTACTTCCCTTCCGAAGGAAGACGTGACCAACGATCTTTATACCTCAGAAAAATCCCACCGACCTCGGCTGGGATTGAACCCAGACCCATCGGGGTGTTAGAAAGCAGTCACGCTTACCACTACACCACCGGCGCCGGCTTTCATGGTTATGACGTAAGTTGTCAAATTTGGCAGCTGGGTCACCAACAAAATATGTTTGTTTTTAAAAGACATTTATTGTTGATTCAATCATATTTATTTTATGAAGTATGACAATTAATCATGTTTTGTTGTCTTTGACATCATCCACATCCAGAGGGCCAGTCACTTTCGAATGTATATGGGAATGGTAGGAAACCATTTGGAAATGCATGAAAATTTCCAGTTTTTATTCATTATCGTCTTTATGGGCAGTTTTAGATGCACAAAAATTGCACGAGTACATTACTATGGTGATAAGGTAAACACTCGTTTATTTGTTTCCTTCTGTGAAAGCATATTTAGTCACAAATTGTGGATTTTCTGATATTCTCTGGATTCTCTGATATACTGCAAAAATGATTTTCCTACCACTGAAGGGGCGACATCTCTCGGATCTTCAGTATAGCTACTACTCAAATCATATTATTAATTCACGCGATTATTTTTATGTTTTGTTTTCTTTTTGCAGCAGAATATCAGGGCTATCTGAGGCATAAAATCACTGATCTCGCCATCCTTCGGAAGGGAAGTAAACCCTAATAAAAAATAACCATAAACGAACGATAACCCAAATCATTGAACTATTCCACAAATGGTTTGGATGATACCCAGAACACGTCGTTAAGCAAATTAACCATACAATTTTTATTAGGGAAGCCGTAGGTTCCCGGTTCATGAGTTGATATGTCGATAAGTAAGGTCCAGGTGTGGGAGCTGTCTGCCTGGCGTCGGTAGCATTGGTACACGGCGAATGAGAACGACTCAAATTTGAGTTTAGTTCACTCATAATCGCCAAAAGTGCAGGAACTCAGCGATGAGTTAATTTGCCTCATGTTTTCCCAGGTTTTTCTAGGATTTTCCAGGGAAAAATTCCTGAATTTGAGCAAAGTAAAGATTGGATTCACTTAGTCTATTGGTACTATTCCGAGACTGAATAAAATTTTCGTCAATTTCCTCATTTTCCGGCAGATTTTTTAGGTTTTCCACAGGAAACCATGGGACAAATTTTACTCATCGCTGAGTTCCTGCACTTTTGGCGATTATGAGTGAACTAAACTCAAATTTGAGTCGTTCTCATTCGCCGTGTACATTTTTGTCCGGGTGAAAACGAGGGAATGGCCGGTAGTTATTTTTGCATTCATGCGTTGCGCCCGGGGAGTGAACACAACAAATAAATGCTAAATTAAAACTAACTATTGTTGGCTTACCCGAAAAAAAAATTACAGTGAAATTTTCAGTGGAAACAATGCTCTAACATTAATATTTATTGTCGACAATAAAAATGATTGTTATAATGTTGTACTCTTCCGAAAACGGCAAAACTGCTACCTAGCTGTACAATGATTGTACATAATAAAATGTTGTTACAATGATTTTTATCGTATTTTTCATTTATTTTATTGTTAACATGATTCGATCATGAACATTAATGAACAACTCTATTACAATAAAAATTGTTGTTACATTAAATATTGGTGTATTTTCATTGTGGGTTACTTCACGAACAATAAAAATAAAACTGATTGTCAGCAACACTGCCAATGTAATAGTCCATTTTATGAAATGACATTAGCTGGTTTGCCTGCCAGAATTTGATGATATTGATATTGCTTCTCACAGCCGTTAGGTAACCGCCTCCTGCAGTTCATTCATGAGTTGAACCAGAAACTTCTCATAAAATGCTCTATTAAGATAGGCGCTGCTCGTATGGCTCTGGCTTTGACAGTTCGTTTGGCTCAAAACCAGGCAGTCTGCGTCCGCTCATATCTTATCCTAGACCCTCTCTAAAGCTTAATGGATACCTTTTCCGTGCAGTCAATAATCATACAATAATAATAAAAAATTCCACCACTTGAAGATGTCAAGAAGGAACTCTCATGTGGAAGCATATTTCATGGGCGATTCTCTCCAGTAGAATGCATTAACTTATCAACGACGCTCAACCATCAAGGAGACGTGACCTAGAGAGATTGAGTACAGGGGAGTTGGCCTCCATTTCTCACAAGTTCCGGATCGAATCTCAATCCATAACCAGTAAAAAAAGGACCACCCGTAACAGACAGACCCACCCCCCACTTCCCTTCCCGGGGCAATGTTTTATTATTTCGATTTATTTTTAAAGTCGATAAAGTAGATCTGTCAAACCAACACATACACTCTAAAGTACACTGTTATTTTTTTAATCAATAAATTCGCCAACCAACAGTAAAATAACAATAATATATAATGTTATTGAAAAAAAATTGTATGGGAAAATCACGAAAATTTCATTGTTAAGATACTTAACAACCCCCCTTTTTTATTGTAAATTTTCCATTTACCATGAAATTTATTGTTTTGTACAACATAAATCAAGGTAAATTTATTGTAGACGTAACAATATAAATCATTGTTAAGACAATAATTTTCGTCTTATTGTTACATTGTTTTTTAATGTATTTTTGTTGTTATTTTTTTTCGGGTAATAATAGAATATTGTTATTTTAACGATAGTTGCAGTTTAAAGTGGCTTATTAAAACAAAAAGAATCCTATTTTGAATTTATATGAATAAGTATTATTGAAACAACAAAATGCAATATAATTTCAACCGGAATTTTTTGTTTAAATACAATCAAAGTTTTTTTTTGGTTCAATGCAAACAATTTTCTGTCCGTGAGGTTTAACAATTTCCGACTGGTTGAATTGGATTGCCTAATAAACCCTTTGACTTTTTAAATGATGAACGACGTGCTCGAAAACTTGAAGGTTGTCATTTTCTAAAGAGTTATAAAATGGTTTGGAATTGATAAATACATAGTTCTATAAAAGTAAACGTAGTGTATTATCAATAGCAAGCAAAAAGAAAAGTGAAAATTACTAATGTCATCATCTTTTCTGGGGAATGGTACATTCTGGGGAATGCTTTTCTGGGGAATGGTGCATTCTGGGGAATGGTTTTCTGGGTTAAACGTAATACTTTTTCTTTCGAACGAATCTGTTTAAGAGACGTTGGTTTTAGCTCTGATCGTTCACTGCACTGAGGGCACTGAGGCAAAAGAACGTAAGAATTCTATAAGAACCACATGAATTTTAGGATCAAGAAATCGGTATGAATTTCAATGTTTTGCCTTATAAAAAATAATAACGCGGAGCAGACCGGAACCGAACCATGGGCATTGAGATAACGGGTCCTGTGTCTGAACCACTGTGTTAACGCTTGGGAAAATTGAATTACTAAACCCGCATAAACGCGAACCATAACTTGACCTTACCAAAAATTAATAAAAATAGTGTATAATCCCTGCTAAACTTTATCTGAAATGGTTATGGAACTTTTCATGGACGTTTGTGTGATAAAGTTTTAACCTTATGTTTTATATTTTGTTTATGTTCATGATATTTCTGAAAACACTTTCATGGCTATTCAAAGGAGACTTCTAAGGGAATTCTGAAAATCTCAAAATGCCCCTGAGAGAATCTCTAGGATTTCTATTACTCTCCTTAGAATTTCCTTGAAAATTTCTTCAGAATATCCTGGAACGCTGCTCAGAATTTATTTGGAAACATTATCAAAATTCCAAGTAAATTTATACTTTTTTGGAACCCTTCCGGAAATTCCCTTGAAGCACTCCTCTGATTTATTGATTAATTTAATATCAATATACTTAGGGTGCCCATTTAACCTCCACTCCACCATCCTTACCGAAATTCCTGCCTGGAAGCTAGGTAACGGGGTACGTTAGTGGAATGTGATATTGTATTACGGAAAGAAGGTGCTCTTCGTGAGTAAATAATGGAATACACACATCAATAATTCACTTAACAATATCATACCAACACACTAAACCGACCCTCTATCAGTACTTTTCGATGAACGAATCCAGAAAACTATTCTTGTTGATCAGCTTCGTGGTGCACACGAGAAATTCGACATTGTTCTCGTCCTGCTGCGCCAGGAAACGCAAGGCGGAGATCTCGGCAAACGTGCATCCACCGATGAAGAACACCACAATTACCCGAGGAATGTCCGACTGGGAAATCTCCGAGGTAAATGAACCTCGCCGGCTGTTGAGGGCCGTTGCCGGTTGAAAATCTTCGAACGTTGGCCCGGGAAGACTGGATAGAACATCGTTCAGCGATTGCCATCCGTTCGGTTTTAGGTGTTGCTCAACGATCCGCACGGAGAGCGGAGCGTAAATGCTGTGCACGTAGGTAATGTCCTTGGGTGACACTTCCTCGGGGTGCTCTGCCGTCAGATTGAAAGTTTTCCTGAGAACTGTGTATGTTCTGGTACCTGTTTGTGCTTTTAATAAACCGGCTTTCTCCAGATTGCCGATGGTCAGGAGAACTTGCAAGCCGTAAACCTGGACGAGCTCACGTTTGTAGTAGTCCAGTACTTTGGGCTTCAACCCGGAACCAGCTATGGATTGCATGCACATTAGTCGGAGGACGTTTCGTAGCGGTGCCTGTTTGGCAATTAAATCTTCGATGAACGGATTCGGTTTATCTATATCCGAGCATATCATGAACTCTTGTTCGCATCCCAACTCATCCAGGAAATTGTCCGATGAGATGATTTCCTTGACACGTTCTGCTATTTTTGTGTGAGTCGCTAGAGATTGTTCGTTGGCTTTTATATCTGGCAGACGTTCTACGAATTTCTTCAACTCTTGAATTGATTTCTCTCCGTGATTTTCATTAGCTGTGGAGCGGATCGATTTGGCTAGTCTGGACAGCACAGCTCCTACCGCGTTGAAATGCTTATCACGCAATTTGGCATACAGCTGTTCCTTCGAATTCAGAATAAACTTAATTTTTTCGGTGTTCTTTTCCATTGAGAATCCTTCCCCAGAGCTGAACTTTTCTGCCGGAAGATTGACAGTCGTATTATTAATCCCGAAAATCTCATCGATTAAACCTTCGTATGTGAGTTGTGTGGCGAGAACGCTCATCAGATCGATGGATCGATCCAATATAATCATCTGGTCGATGACACCTTTGTCGTTGTTCGGAATGGCTTCGTCCTCATTAGTCATGGTTTTAGTCAGTTCCCAAACACGTTGAGCACAGCTACCCTTGCCGTAAACCTTGGGGATCCGACCGTACAGCTTTTGCAACGCTAGAAGCGCACACGCGGATTGGTGCAAGCAAGAAGTGTCGCGGTCCAAGTATAGATCCCTTTAAATAAAAGAATAATAGTCTCGACGCAGTGTTAAATTATCAATGTACATTACTTGTAGGCATCTTTCAGTTCCATCGAAAGTAGATCATTGTCAAATGGGAAAAAGTCACATTTGAATTCTCCTATGTGAGCTAGGCTTCCTTGAACACCTTTAACCTGCAGACGCTTCTCACAGAGGAATGATCTTTTGGGCACAAAATAGAGATGATATTCCTTTCTTGATACTGAAAAAAGGAAAGAGCTGAAAATGGTTCAAACTACTAATAATTGAAATTGTAACACACTCTTCTTCTTCTTTTCCTCCTCGTGGATATTGTTTGCAATGTAATCCATCAGGGTTTGATTCGGCCGGGTTATGAAGATGATATTCTTCACATCGATGTCGGCCATTGGTTCCGCACTTAGCGCATACATTTTCGTCACATTATGTTCCTCGAGAAAAGTGTACCGTGCCACCAGTCCTACTGGACCTCCCAGAGATTCGTCCCATAATATCGCCTGTGGGTATATATTAAATTTATTAATTAGAATACGCCCCAAATTGCCCATGTTGCAGGAAACCTACCTTAGTTCCTTCGCAGCGATCTAGAATTTCTACAAGCTCCCGAATAGCTGATTCTTGTAGTAGCTGAACGTTGGCTCGCCCTCCGGCTAGATGAGTATACATTTTTAGAATCGAATCGAGGTTCTAGTAGCCAAATTTTCGCTTTTTTAAATTAATTACAGACTTAATATAAAAACAAAGATGAATCATAAAAATTGATTTTTGTTGTGATCCTCGAAGAAGAAAGTGACGTTCGCGATTGTTATGACACAAGTTGAGCAACGATGGGCTAACGTGGCGTACCTTGCGTTGTGATAAGAACATTCAGCCGTGATTACAAAATATTGTTAGCACAAACACGCCTGCCGCATTCAACTCAAATCTACACAGAGTTCTCTACCACCGTTAGTATCACAAACGAAGTGACAGACGACTAACTGGCGAAGAAATCCATTAAAATAATGTGGTTCACTGTAATTGGCAAATCAAAGTTGGCACTTGTGGAGAATAGAAGAACTATGAAAGTGATGATGGTTTCAAAATTTTCCACGGGGAGGTACACGAGTGCAATCTTAAAATGCTTTTATTTTGCAAATGGAGCATATTATTTAAATCTGGTTACTGCTACAGTGGTAGACTCAGTGGTATGTCTACACATAAAAATCTGAAAAGAAATTATTTTTTCTATAGTATATGTCTTTTGAGTACCCGCATAAACGCGAACCATAAATTGACCTTACCTAAAATGGTTAAAAATTGTTTATAATCCCTGCTAAACTTTAACTGAAATGGTTATGGAACTTTACATGAACGTTTAATGATAAAGTTTCAACCTTATGTATTATGGTTTTTTGGAACTGGACCTTACAAATAATGGGTTGTTAAGAACCATTACCGTTCCAAATTCTTGTTTTCTCCATACATTTTCGGAAAGAGAACTATATTAGGACCTTTTAACTTATGGTTTGAGAACTTTAATGGTAATAGTTATGGTAGTCAGTAAGGTCCACGAATGGTTTTGTAACATCGATCAACTTTATGTGGAATATATCGCGAATTGGTTGCCTGTAATTTACAGATTACCAATTCACGATATATTCCACGTAAAGTTGAGCGATAATACAAAACCATTAATGGACCTTACTGACTACCATAACCATTACCATTAATGTTCTCAAATCATAAGTAAAAACGTTCTTATATAGTTCTCTTTCTGAAAATGTATGGAGAAAACAAGAATTTGGAATGGTAATGGTTCTTAACAACCCATTATTTGTAAGGTCCAGTTCCAAAAAACCATAATACATAAGGTTGAAACTTTATCATTAAACGTTCATGTAAAGTTCCATAACCATTTCAGTTAAAGTTTAGCAGGGATTATAAACAATTTTTAACCATTTTAGGTAAGGTCAATTTATGGTTCGCGTTTATGCGGGTAGTCCTTTAGTTTTCTACTAACGTAACATTAACCAAATTTAAATAAAATGCTCAATTTGCAAAATAATAGCATTTTAAGATTGCACTCGTATACCTCACCGTGTAAAATTTGGAAACCATCATCACTCTCATAGTTCTTCTATTCTCCACGAGTGCCAACTTTAATTTGCCAATAGAATTTTCTTGGAAGCTTGTGCCATCATCCACCAGATGAGTTAGTTTTTTTGTTTTGATTTGAACAAAGATGATTTTGTGTACAATGATTCTTTGACAGTGTGCAAAGAGTGTATCATTTTGTCATTTTTTTATGCATTTCAGTTTTGAGTAGAGTGAAAGAGATAGAACCAAAACATTCTAATACATTTGGTGAAAATGCTAGTACAATCCAGTAGTAGTGTTGCCATGTGGTACAATCCAGTAGTAGTGGTGTTGCCATGTGGTACACTGAAAAATTGAAATAGCAGGTTAGTCACCAAAGTTTTCGAGCCGCTCCGTCTGTCATTTCGTTTGTGCTAATACTAACCACACACGAAGTGACAGACGGAGCGGCTCGAAAACTTTGGTGACTAACCTGCTATTTCAATTTTCCAGTGTACCACATGGCAACACTACTACTACTGGATTGTACCACATGGCAACACTACTACCACAAACGAAGTGACAGACGGAGCGGCTCGAAAACTTTGGTGACTAACCTCCCGCATAAACAATAACCATAAGAAGCGCCTAACAACCAATTCGGGATATAATCCCAACTTTATGTGGTATGGACGTACCATCTATGATATCGTTAGTGTATGGTACCCGTTTATTAGGGCTGCTATTGCAATTTTTCAGTGTACCACATGGCAACACCACTACTACTAGATTGTACCAACAATCAATACGAAACTAACGATTTTAAATTGGCTCACTACTTGACTAGCCTATTGGTCCCAAGCAAACGATTAACGTACCCCATTCTAGTCGAAATTCTACTACTACACAATGTTTGTTTTGATTCGCTATGAAAGTTTGACAGATAAAATGAGGGGTTAGTGGATTTTCCTATGTTTCGAGGGGTGAATCGATTAGCTTGGGACCGAAGAGAGTACCAGAGCTGAGCCAAAAAGTTGAGCATTTTATTTCGGGACCTTCTAGTCTTAGAGTTACCTCTATGATTGTACCACATGGCAACACTACTACTGGATTGTACTAGCATTTTCACCAAATGTATTAGAATGTTTTGGTTCTATCTCTTTCACTCTACTCAAAACTAAAATGCATAAAAAAATGACAAAATGATACACTCTTTGCACACTGTCAAAGAATCATTGTACACAAAATCAGCTTTGTTCAAATCAAAACAAAAAAACTAACCCATCTGGTGGATGATGGCACAAGCTTCCAAGAAAATTCTATTACAGCGAACCACATTATTTTAATTGATTTCTTCGCCAATTAGTCGTCTGTCACTTCGTTTGTGGTATTAGTGAGAAGTTTCACTAATACATGCATTTGACTGGTTGAAAATAAAAAAAAACAAACCGCTTTCAAGTCGAACACTTTGACAGCTGATTTCGTGGTTGAAAATAATAAACAAATCGATTTTACACGGCTACGCTAGCTAGGTGTGTTAGCACAAACGAAGTGACAGACGACTAACTGGTGAAGAAATCAATTAAAATAATGTGGTTCGCTGTAATAGAATTTTCTTAGAAGCTTGTGCCATCAGCCATTAGATGGGCTAGTATTTTTGTTTTGATTTGAACATAGTTGATTTTGTGTGCAATATGATCTTTGACAGTGTGCAAAGAGTGTATCATTTTGTCATTTTTTTATGCATTTCAGTTTAGAGTAGAGTGAAGGAGATAGAACCAAAATAGTCTAGTACATTTAGTGTTGCCATGTGGTACAATCCATTAGTAGTGTTGCCATGTGGTACAATCCAGTAGTAGTGGTGTTACACTGAAAAAATGCAATAGCAGGTGCGTCACCAAAGTTTTCAAGCCGCTCCGTCTGTCACTTCGTTTGTGGTATTAGCAACAATCAATACGAAACTAACGATTTTAAATTGGCTCACCACTTTAGTAACCTATTGGTCCCAAGCAAACGATTAACGTATCCTATTCTAGTTGAAATTCTATTACTACACTATGTTTGTTTTGATTCGCTATGAAAGTTTGACAGATAACATCAGGGGTGTGTGGATTCATGCAGAACATGCAGGGGTGAGTGAAATAGCTTGGGACTGCTTGGGACCGTTGTTCTGGTACTGAGTGAGCCAAAAATAATAATGATTTTCTTTGGGACCCAGTGGTCTTAGAGTTACCTCTATGGTATTAGTGAGATCTTGCGTCGAGAAGTCAATATACAAGAACTTCACCCAGGCGACGATGGAGTCACTCGCGTCGTTACAGTACGGACATCAACCGGTTCGATGAAACGTCCGGTAGCAAAATTGTGTTTACAAAACGTCAAGTGCGTCGAGAGGAGTTCTTTTCTTTCTTTATTTTCAGAAGTTTCCCCGGTAACTTCAGGATGGGTGAGAATGTTTGCGAGCAACAAGAAACACAGCGGATGCAGCCAATTAAAACGCACTGACTGGGATTTAGGTACTCCACGGTGCTACCAACAATCAATACGAAACTATCGATTTTAAATTGGCTCACTACTTGACTAGCCTATTGGTCCCAAGCAAATCGATTAACGTACCCCATTCTAGTCAAAATTCTAGTACAACACAATGTTTGTTTTGATTCGCTATGAAAGTTTGACAGATAAAATGAGGGGTTCGTGGATTTTCATATGTTTCGAGGGGTGCATCGACTAGCTTGGGACCGAAGATAGTACCAGAGCTGAGCCAAAAAGTTGAGCACGTTTCTTCGGGACCTTCTGGTCTTAGAGTTACCTCTATGGTGCTACCAATCGGTTGAGTGTGGTGGCTAGTGGTAGTGAACCGATTCGCCGCGGTCACTCACTATTAAGGGCCACCCACATTAGATCCGTTTACGTTTCGTTGACGTAAATTTGACAGTTAGATAATAGATTTAGCTGTCACTTTGCCGCAACGTGTCCGATCCGGATCTAATGTGCGTGGGCCTTTACGCACGAACTGCACGGAGAAGGAGAGAGTTTCTCGTAGAAGAATGTAGGATTAAGCGATATAAATGTAAATATAGGAAATAAGTACACCGTCGCGAATAGTCGACCGGGGGCGAACCCCGTACGAAATCATTTTGTTTAGTTAGTGAGAATAAATGTAGTGTTGTAGTTAATAAATCGATGTAGTGTTTAACTCGGAGTTTAGTGGAAATAAATTGTATTTTGTGTGGAAATTGGTGTACTGTTCTGTTTGCGAAGGAAGGTCTATGGATGACGGAAGGCAACAGGATAAAATAAGGAGGATAGAACGAACGTTCGCCGGGCAAGTAGAAATCAACATCAATCGGTCGGGACGGTCCCCGAAACTCACATTAGAGAAACGCTTGCTATCCTTCATTCTACACATTAACGGAGCTCTGGTCGACATTCCGGCGAAAAAGCTAAGCCAACCCGTCACCAACCTGACATCTATCAAACCTCAACCCGATGTTAACCCGACATAAACCCAAAATTGACCCGACAACAACACGACATTGGATCGACATCGACCTTAAATTTGCCTTACATTGATCCGACATCGGGTTGACTCCACTGTCGTATATCAAATGATAGTGAGTGACTCAATTGACAGTGACAATGAGTTTCGAATGAGAAAGGGGCTGTTCAAATTATGGTAATGTGAGAAGTCGTTTTCACAGAT